GTCTATATTCTGTTTGCTTGTTTCTTCACTTGAGTGTATGGGATTGTATTTGTTTTCCCATCACTCTCCATCTTGCTCTTGGTACCCAAATATTTCCACAGTAAGTTTCTAGTTCTGTAATGTTTACATTTTCTTACAGCAATGAATCACACAAACATGCCCCTCTCAGGGCTGTAGAGATGGCTCAGTGGTCAAAGCACTTGCCCCACAGATGTGAGGACCTGAGTTTGGATCCCTAGAACCCATGTAAGGGCTGGGTGGGCATGAAGGCTTCCTTTAGTTTCAGCCTGGGAAGGTGGATGTGCAGTTCCCAGACTCAACTGCTAGTGAGATCAGTTATATAGGTGCCATATATTAGCTATACAGATCTGAGTTTGATTAGCAGACCCTGGTACAATGAATAAGGGGGAGATCCATCAAGGTTGAGACTGGACACTGACCTCCATATGCATATACACCCATGCGTGCATACATGCTCACACATGTGTGTCCACACATATGTGCCCACATGTATGCAAACATACACACACATGAAAAGAAACAGCAGCATAGCACCCCTTCTCTACCCTTAGGTTACTGTTAGTAGCCATTCTCTTCCCCTCACCTGGCACTACCCCATTCCAGCCTTTCACCACCCCAGCTCAGCCGCAGTGCTCATTCAGGAATTACCTTTTCAAAACTGAGAGAAAGCAAGACCACTTTTTCTAAAACCCTTTGCTGCTCCTGCTTCTGGCGCTATCTTCCCTGTGTTGTGAATGACTCTGGATTGTGGGAGTGTGGACATCCAAGATTGGGTCTTCTTGGTCTTCAAATTTTGAATACAACCTTATGGACATAGTGTTTGACAACTGGGTTATTAAATTGGAGTGAACTGAACGGGACAGATGTAAGTGAGGTGGGTACCAGGGTTGGGAAACCCAGGAAATTGCCACTGGTTCTGTTCACACAGGGGCTTGCTAAGGAGAGATTCAGGTTAGGCTCCCACCAGTGTCCAGGCTGAGGATCTTATCTACAGCCTCTGGGTTCCTCCCAGCAGCCAGCTGGGCAGCTGACTGTTCAGATTCTGACATCACAGATTAGATAATCGTGTCCACAGTCACTCAGTCTCTCAGATGATAGCCATCTCCATTATTAAAGACCACTAGGCGCTGTCGTGCTGAGGGAAACTTACAACCCAGAAGCCTCACAGCTCAGCTGCTCGTCCTGGGAACTCACAGGCCAACCTTTAAGCAACCTCCTTAGATTATCTGCTGAGGCCTGGGGAAATGTTTGGAAGGATCTGCTGGAGGAGACTGAAGCGTAACCCTATAAGGGAAAATATGCATGGCCCCACTCGGTGGCGGCTGCTTTGCTTCCCTGCTGCTGGAGTGCTGGGTCCCTTCAGCGCAGGCTTGAGAATGCACTCCAGCCGATGGGGCCCTGCCAGGTGTGGAACTACCCAAGGGGCTCTTTTGGATCTGGCCTCCCACTGTGCTTCTCTTCAGTTTTAAAGATGTTACAGAAGCACTCAAGGACAGCCTCCTCCCCAGCCCTTCCAATGTTCTCTTTAATACAAGTCTCAGGGATCCTGACTAAAGTGGAAACTAGAAAATCGCTAGTGCATTGACTTACCACCGCCAGCAGGTAACCTATCGGGCACCATGCTAGACATTCCTGCAGAGAGATGCATGGCGTGGATCCTGACTGTAAATTGCCTCCTGACTAGGGGAAGAGACAGACTGTGAGCCCTTTGGCACAGTGTCAAATAGAATAGAATGAGGGTATTTCAGGGGATTTTTTTTTTTTAATGTGGGGAGGTTAGCAATTTTTATGTCCTTGGCCCCAGTCTGTGTTCAATGGTTGCCACTCTATCTAGCATAGGGTGTCAAATGTCAGGGCTGGTGTGTCTGACAAAGGAGGAGCTCCCTGTGCAGAGATTTTTCTCCTTAGCCTGCTGCCACAGGTCAGGTGCCTGCTGCCAGTTTCTAGTCTCATTTCTGCCACCTGTTTCAGAGATGCTAAGGGTCCAGTGAGAAAAGAGCATGAAAAATGCTCAGGTATTAGGAGGCTACTAGTGAGTGTGTGTGCAGTCCTCAGACTGGGTTCAGACTGCGGCCTTGAGCCATGCTTGCTTTCAATTGTCTAACAAAAACACCCTCCACTGAAGAATTGGTTGCTCGAATCAGATTGGCCCTGGACCATATATATCTATGAGGCATTTCCTTAATTGCTAATTGAGGTGGGAGGACCCAGTCTACCGTGGGAGGTGCCGTCCCTAGGCAAGTGAACCTGGACTGTATAAGAAAGGGAGCCGGGGAAGCCAAAGAGCGAGCTAGTAAGCAGCGTTCCTCCATGCTGTCTGCTTGCCTTGGCTTCCCTTGGTGGCGGACTGGAAGGATGACTATGAGTAAGATGAGGTAAATCCTCCCCCCCCCCCCCCCCCCCCACCCCGCCCAGGTTGCTTACGGTCAATGGTGTTTATCACAACATCAGAAAGCAAGTTAGGACTGGAGCAAAGCTCAGCCAGAAGGTTGGTGTTGAAGGATTTGACTGTGGTGGAAGCCTTTCTGTGTTGTGGAGATAGGGGTCTTAGAACGCCACCTCGAAGGACTCCTGTCTCTTCTGTGGAGAGTAGAAGTATGAAAAGTGGACTGGAAGGGCTCCCCCCACCCAGCCTTCCTGATGTGACTCCTGGTTTGGCTCCTATTTCTACCTCAGTGGCTTTGGCCAGGACTCTCTCCTCCCTCTTCTAGATGCTGAGGCAGTGCCTGTCATCAGGGCTGAAGCAGGGTGGCCCCAGCAAGCCCAGACACTCCCATTCCCCTGTCTCTCCAGAGCCATTTCCTTTCCCAGTTTGCCAGGCAGGCCTTGTGGTCTGCAGGTGTGTAGGTGTGTACCATCTGTGTTCTGAGAGGGGCCTTCCTGGAGCTTGCCCAGGACTCACCTCAGTTACTCCTCCTTCCCACTGCCATGCACAGCTGACCTCTCCAGGTCACATCTTCCCTGCTCCCTGACTCTTCCAGCCCGGTCTCCCTTCACCTTGAGACCTGACTGTTGTCCCTGCACACTTCTGTGGCCCATACACCCTGTGGTCTTATAGATGACCCAGATATATCAAGTACTTGCTGTGAGCCAAGTAAGATGCCAGTGCCCTCACATTGATTTGGGTAGGAACAGTTTGCCTCTTCTGTACAACCTGCCATTCTTCCAATGACATTCCAGGGCTTTCTATGAGGACCGTGCTTTAGGGTTCCAGAGGCAAGGAAAGGGCGAACCTGTTCTCACCAGTTGATGAGGCTTTACCTGCTGTGCCATGTCACTGGTTCATAACTAGCAGTTTAAAGATATTTGCTAACTTACTAAACAACACTCAACATTACATGTTAACACATATTAGGTTTATGAAAAATATTTTTATTTACCAAAACAAGACAAGTAAAAGGAGACATTGCTTGCTCCTTTTGCTTTGTGTTTGACATCAGGCTCAGTGGAAGACAGCTGGGTTCTCTTCTACATTTGGACTGAGAGGAACATGTCTTTATGGTGGAAGTGCCCTTGCTTGCATAGATAGCTGGGAAGGAGGGGTTTTCAGTGGCCTTTACAGAAAACGGTGACCACTTCCTTTGCACCGTCCCCAGAGCATAGGAGACAATGTCAGGTTGTTTTAGATTTCAGGTGGGTCTGTTGCCCACCTGAGTGGTACAGATCCTTCACTGGGACACAGGCACGGTGACGTTGTGCAGCACCCAAAAACAATGTTTCTCAGAGTTACTCCTGACCTTGTTAGAAAACACAGTGTTGGAGGCTGTTGAGGGTCATAGTGGCTGACACAGACTCCAAAATTCTTAATGGAATCTCGAAAAGGTCATTGAAAACAACCTATCAGCTGTTTCTTTACAAGTGATGAAGTACAGTTTGCTTGTTTCTGAGAGGTAGCTGCAAAACGCTGAACACATAGGCCTGGGCTGTGGCTCTGTGTATGCCTAGCACATAGGAGGCTCTGGCTAGTGGCTGAGAGAAAAAAAAAAGTATGAATGAATAGTTGTAGCTGGCCCATTGTTCATTCAAGTCAGGTGACAGGCACAGACCAGCCTGCTGCCCTCTGCAGAAGGGCTTCCAGGGCTACAACAGGGGAAAGGGCCAGTCTCAAGGGTTGAGACATTGATAAGAGCAATGATTTTTAGTACCTGAGTAATGTCAAGTATGTATCAAGGGCACTCTTCAGGGAGAATGGCTCTCAGCTATGAAGAACACCATGCTACCTATGAGGCTAAGTGTCAGGACTTGAGGCTTTGTGACCGTGCTTGAGGCTTTGTGCCAGTGCGTGACATGTGTGTACATGCAATTCCACCCTTGAATTTATTTGCCCCGTCATTGCAGCAGCACGAAGATAGGGTCTCACTGTTGTGAAACTATTGTGAACCTGCCCACCTGGCAGAGGGTTTTGGACTGCCCTAGAGCTTACATTGTCAGTTAGAAGTTACTGATTAAACCCTGCATTCCAGTCTTGTGTAAAATGTCGATGTGTCTGCCATTACGGGAACGACATGAGGCGGGGGTCACCACCTGAACCTGACTCTTCACTGCCCTGACACCTGGCGTCCTTGCTGTGGCGTGTTTAGATCAGAGGAGCAGGTTGAGGCTGAGCTTTGGAATCTGTGTGCTGATTTGGAAACTGGCAGTTTAAACTCTGATCTATTTCTTGCCACTGGTATTCAGCATCGCACACTGACATGGAATAATGTCTACTTTGGGGCCACTCCAGCTGTTGGGTTTGGCTCTGACTCTTCTCTGGTTGAGCTCTGCTCCCTCAAAGTAAGGGTGAAGGAGCCATGCATGTGGTGGGAAGATCGTGAGTCTGCAGTGGGCCCGGTATAGCAAGCTCACTTCTCTAGTTAGAATGTGGACTATTTCATCCATTGATGAGACTGAACATGAGCCGCTGGGGTGAAGCACACACTCCTGAGATCTGCAAACCCTCAGGCTGACAGTCCTCTTCCTCCTCTCTTCTTTCTTTGCAGCAATGGAAGAGTTAATAGTTGAACTCCGCCTCTTTCTGGAGCTCCTGGATCATGAGTACCTCACTTCAACTGTCAGAGAGAAAAAGGCAGTGCTCACCAACATCCTGCTTAGGATACAGTCATCCAAGGGTGAGTCTCGAGGGCCACCAGGAGCCCTTGGTCCAGATTACTAGGCTTCCAAACCCTCTCTAATTTAATTTCTTTCTAACTGTACTCATTCGTTCTCTCCCAATATATCCTCTGACACTATCCACCCCATGAATTCTTCCTCCAGCTTCCCTCCCTTCCCTTCCTCACTGGTGGGGTCTCATCACCTTCACAGTTAAGTAGAGAACCATGATACCAAGCCTTCTGCAGGACTGCCATAAAGAATCAGAGAGAATAAATATTTGCACCATTCTCGAGAGGGCTCAGGAAAGGCTACTGCTCATCTCCTTCTCCTCACCCAGATCTGTGGTTTCCGTTAATCCCTACAGGCTTTGAAGGGAAGGACCATGCTCAGAAGGCAGAGGCCAACAGCCTGCCCGCACCCCCCCAGATGCCTCTGCCGGAAATCCCTCAGCCATGGCTGGTGAGTTGACATCCACCCACCATCCGCACTGCCACTGGAGGCCTGGGCTGCTCATGTCCTGCCAGGCCTGTGATGCAAGCCAGGAGGTGAGAGGCTTTGCTCTGCCTGAGGTGCTCCTTGGAGTGTGTTCCTAGGGTCCTAAAGCTGCTGGACACACAGGTTCTTGGGGATCTGTTAAGACAGGTGAAGGGGAGTCAGAAGACTCAGCAGGCAGAATCATGTCTGAGGAGCCTGAGGACTTGACCCTCTTTCTGGGTGACCTCTGACATTCATTGCTGTGTTCCAGGCTGAATTTTTTGTTTTTCTTTTCAACAGAGAAAAATGTGCACATTCCAGTTGAGTTAGTGTGTTTCAAATGGCTTCAGGGTTTTCTTTTTGCTATGTTTTTCAAACTGGAGATGTCCTCCTGTGCTGTTGCCATCTCCCTTCAGCTCTTTCTCTATCTTTATATTCTGTAGCTTGCTTAATCAGGGGAATCAGGCTTTCACTGAAATGAGGGCAAAGCGATCACTTGGCTGCCGGCTTTCCACATTTGCATTGTCAGGTATCGGGTCATCCTATTCTTTCTGCCAGGGTCCCAACCAGAAGAGGCAGGATTCTGTCTTATCTGTCTTCATAGCCTGGCTTGGTCCTCATACTGTGGTCCCTTGCTCCTGGTGCCTCTTGCATAGCACTGTACCTGTCTCTGGCTTTGTTTACTTCTGTTTGTACAGACATTGGAAAAGCTTAATTTATGATTGTGCAGAATGAGCTGATAATGGCAATAATTAATACTACTAATAACACAGTAATTATAACAATGTGCTCTAGTAAAGGGATTTAAAACTTGGTGGCTATTTATAGAACTTTCCACATAATGCTTTTGATTGACTATAAGACTGTAGACTGTGGTAACCACAGATCGGAGGACAGCTGTTATTGTATGTAATCCTCATGGTGTGGTTCTCGAAAACTGGTAAATACTTTGTAGCAGTGGTCCTCAACTATGGGTCAAGACCCCTTTGGAGGGCAAATGACCCTTTCACAGGCATCAGCTAAGACCATCAGAAATCAAAGAAGTTATGGTTGGGGAACCATGACATTAGGAACTATATTAACATGAGGAACTATAATAATGGGTCTCATCATTAGAAGGTTGAGAACCACTGTTTCATAGCATGTGAAGAGTGTGGCTACCAGTTTTTGGAAAAAGATTTTGAGGATGTGTGGTTTACTAAAGGTTACTTGATAAGTAGGGGAAGCAGAAATTGTTATCTGGCATGGCGCACAGGAGGTGGGAGTTGGACAGGCTTGGGCCTGTTCTCTGAATGGGCTCCAGCATGAGGGTATGGATGTCAGAGAACAATTTATAGGAGTCAGTTTTCTCCAAGCAGGATGTGGGATCTAACTCAGGTCATCAGGCTTGAGGGCATTGTCTTCATCTGGGAGCCATCTTGCCGGACCATAAGCTTATTTTTAATTATTGTTTTCTTTTCTTTTCCTGTTGTAGAAACTTTTCATTATTTATAATTACTATTATATTATTATTAATTTCATTTGATATTTTTAGCTATATGAAATCATATCCCACAAGTATTTCATTCAACAATGTTAGTATTTTTTATTGGCAAATTGTTTTTCTACAATATGAGCCGGATGGAAATCAGTGGTCCGCTGTTTCCTGGCTTAGATGACGCTGTGGTATTCCGTAGCAGTCCAATGTGTGGTGCCTTCTGTTCCACTGTTGCACGTTGTATCTTGGGAGTATCTCGGGATATGGGGAGGGGAGGAGTGAACACCTAGAGGCACGTGGACAGTGGAGCTGGCTTACCCTGTGTAACTCCAGCTGCTCCCTCCTGGACTGTACCCCCTGCAGGGGCACAGAGGAGCCCTTGGGATGCCAAGAATAAGAGTCCTCATGATGGATCAGCACTTTGTGCCATTGCATTTCTCTGGACTTCCCCTCCAATCCAGTTCACCCAGTGACAGGCTGGTTGGCCCTTTCAGGGCTTTTTACATTGTGTGGTCCCCAGTCCGGTCATTTCTCAGAGGGACTGAAGGATATCTGTGTCAACCCATGGTGGTTCAGCAATTGGCCAAGGCAGGCTAGTATATTTTTATGAGGGTTTTTGGAGGGTAGTGGGGAGACAAGTCTCTCTCTCTCTCCTTCCCTTTTTCTTTCTCTCTCTATAGTCCATAGAGACTTGGACATAGAGACTCTATAGACTTGGAATTAACTGTATATACATGCCAGGCTGGACTGGCATTGGTAATCCTCCTGCCTCCAACTCCCAGTGCTAAGACCACAGACGTACTCCACCATGCCTATCTTTCTTGGGGTTTTTAGTGAAAATTGAATTTGTCAAATGAGCTAGCCAGTCAGTTTGCCTTTGGGCTGGCTTTCAGCCAGGCACCATTGATCTTGACAGACTGACTTTGTGGTGAGTTTGCTTCTTGTAAGGATGGAATGGGAAGGAGGCCATGCTGAGCAGAGGGGGCCCCCAAGTAAAGGCACCAACCCAAGGGTGAGTCAGATGTACCCAGAACCATGTAGTGGGTAGATCCTGGGATTTGGGTGGGTGATGCCCAGTGCTGGGCAGGCTGATGGGCAGGAGCTGAAAGTTTATCATGAGAAAACATGGTGTCTGTCCTGGTTTGCTTCCTGTTGTGGTGATAAACACTATGGTCAGTTTAGTGGGGGAAGGGTTTCTCTGGCTTATGTGTCCTGAGGGGGAAAAAAAGAACAAAAATCACAGCACAGTGTCTGTGACTTCTACCAGCTGTAATTATTTCCCACATTCACAAACTGATATTGTGTTCTGGTTTTTGCCTTTTTGTAGCTTGTAACAACAAATACTGCCTTCTGTCTGTTGCTATAAATACTTATTGCTGTGATAAAATGACCATGTTGCTTTTTGGGAAGAATCTGGAAGACTTTGGAATTTTCGACTTTGTAAAGCCATCGGTTATTCAGAGCTTAAATGGGCCGTTCTTGTCTGGGCCTGGAAAGTAGGAGAATTAGGGGGACAGTGGAGATTCCATCTGTGTTTCAGAGGCAGGCAAGGACTTGATCAGGAATTGGGTCAGGGGCAAGTGGAGTGATGCTTTGGCTGTAATTTGCGTATGCTGATCATGCTGCGGCTGAAGAAGAAGCAGGCAGGCAGCCGAGGACTGGAATCTGGAACCGAAGCCAAATGAACCCCCCCTTTTTTTTAAATCAGAATATTTTACCACAGCAACATAAATGAAACTCACTACTACTTAAAGAAGATTGTTGAAATAAAAAGTATCTGTTTATTCTCTTTGGTGTACCCTAAACACACCAGCGTCCTGCAATTACTATCTCTTGTCATTTTTCAAGTAAATTAAAATTTAAGTATTCTAAGATGACTTGTGGTCCTCCTTCCTTCCTTTCTTTTCAGACAGGCTTACACCAAACTCACAGAAATCTGCCTGCCTCTGCCTCCCCAATGTGGGATTAAAAGTGTGTGCTGCCGCCACACCTAGCTTCTTTTCTTTATTTTTCACCTTGTTTACTAATGCCAGCCAAGGGTCAGCCTTGTAACATAGACGCTATCCTCAGAAAACCAAGGAGTGTCCAATTGCTCGAAAATTGCCTCCGAGTAAACATGGCTGCCGCCCGTGGTGGGCTGTGTGAACTGGAGACTTCTGCACGATGAATATGCCTCACCAGCCAGTGTGAGTGCTCCTGAGAGACTGGGGGTGGCGACATGAGAATGGGGACCTCTGGAGCCCTGTGAGTGCCCTGCAGAGGACTACAGACCAAAGCAGGCATAAGTGTAACAGGACCAGTTCTGTGACAGTTTCTGGATAGCTCTTGGATCTGTCACTCCTTGACATATGCAGCTCTTGTACAAGCTAGTCATACTTGGTATGCAGTGAGTGCTGAGATTTTGGGACAGGCAGACCCTTCACTGGACGTAGATTCCCCACATGTGCTGGTGTTGGCTGATGTCTGCACCAGCTCTGAAGCCAGTTTACTTTTGTGATCTATTTCTGCTTAGCAGGGGTCTGTGATTTGGAAGCAGCCATAGGCTGGCTCTATCGCTGTGAAGACACAACCTGACCATGGCTACGCCTATAAAGGAAAGCATTTAACTGGGGCTGGCTTACAGTTCATAGCTTTCGTCCATTTTTGTCATGGTGGGAGGGAAGCATGGCAGCCTACAGGTCGTCACGGTGCTGGGGAGGTAGCTGAGAGTTCTAAATCTGGATGGACAGGCAGCAGGAAGGGAGTGAGAACCATTGGGCCTGGCTTGAGACACATCTACTCCACAAGGCCACATTTCTGAGTGCCATCCCTATTCAAACCACCACAGCTCAGGCAGTTGAACACGTCCCCAGTCAGTGGTGCTGTTTGGAAAGGTATAGGAGGGGTAGTTTTGCTAGAGGAAGTGTGTCACTGAGTGTGGGCTTTGAGAATTTATTACCTCAGACTCACAGAGATCCACCTGCCTCTGCCTCCACACCCAGCTTTCTTCGCTATTCTTAGGTGTGCAGTTGGTTGCCATTAGTTGACTTTACCTCCATACATTTTATCTTCCCAAGTTCTCTGTCCCCACTAAACACCACCTATTCTCAGCTACTCCTCACCTGTCCTCTGACAGCCACCATTCTTTGCCCTGTGAAATACCAAAGTTTTGAATCAGCCTTTCTGACTGAGCCTGGGGCCTTCACATTATCCTTCCAGAAGCCCCTGCGTCCCCATGGCACCCTTATTTTTGTCTGACAGATGGTATTATGGGATGCTTTGTGTTGAAGTTAGGCATTGGAAGTTACAGAGTTGGACCCGGAGCGACTGACTCTTTGTATAGCCATTTGGTGGACATGAACCCCACGCTCCCCTTCATCTCTTGTCTTCCCAGAATCTCAGCGTGTCATCCCCATGTGGTCTGGTGGCATCTTTCTCTTGCATCCATCCAGGCATGCAGCTGGATCCCACTCCTGCCGTCCGTCTCCTCTGCTTTTCCACGTGGGCATTGGCTCTGGGTGGCTCTGTTTCTTCACTGTCATAGGTTAAGCCTGAGAAAGCATAAGAAAATATGTTCTGGGTCTTGCTGTGTAGTAACTGCGGCACAGGCAGCAGGTCAGAGAGTGAGTGGGTGGAATGGTAAACTCTGTCTCAGGACTGTCTGCCAAGACTGGCTGTTCACTTGGAATTCTTCGTGTTAGGATTGAAACATACATTTATTGATTAATTAATTGATTGATTGTAGTTTTCTAGAATTGAAACACATTTATTTATTTATTTCAGTTTTTTAACGCATAAAAAAAAATATCTCCAAATTCTAATCCTCGTGGCCGGCCAGGGAAACTAAGATTATGTATGGCGTGTGTGCTGTGCTGCCCTACCTGCTGCCGCTGTGGGGCGGATCTCACTGGGACTCTGATTTTCTTACCTCAGATTGTATGATTGTTGTCTGTTCCTCTGGATTTGACCTCCTGGAACCAGGAAAGCAATATGGATGAATCCCTGGCTGTGTAGAATTGGAGTCAGAAAGTGGTTTCTCAGGTAGAGCCAGTTTTGGGGATTCTCTGGTGTTTCTCATGCGAAGACCTACAGGATGTGTGAGGTTATGCTATAGGCAGAGAAATGGTGAGAGGCACAGGGCTCCAGATGAGAGGAGAGTGTTTGGGGGTGGGTAATGGTGTTAGGTAAGATGGGGGCGTGGAGATATGCCTCTCCCTAGGAAGCAGGAGGTCTGGATGTGGTGGTATGGACTCTGTCCTCTTCTTCTGATTTCTCAGTCCCCTCCCTCCAGCCCTTCTCTGCTCAGCATCACAATGATGATAATGAGGGGCTCATATTCACCTGTAACTCCAGTCCTGGGGGTCTGATGTCTGTGCTGTCCCCTGCAGGGCATGTGCACACGCAATCAAAAAGGAAATAACTCTTTTCAAAGTGGTAAGTATTTAAAATGCAAGCTGTGCAGACACAAGTGAGGGAGGCAACTCTGTGTCAACACATTTGCTGAGCAGCCATCTTTGCTGAGCAGAGACTTTCAGGTGATCTAGAAAAGGGTCAGGGCTGCTACGGTCTTTCACTCAGCGTTGCTAACTAGGGTTTTTCAAGTCAGTGACTCCAGGATGCACTGCCGTGTGTGTGGCAGTGCATCTGGGCATTCTATTTTTTTTTCTTCTATTTTGTATTGTTTGTGTGTGAGCGTGGCACATGTGCCACAACATGCACAGGAAAGTCAGAGGACAGATTCTCTCCTTCCTCTGGGGCTTCTGGGGATCATACTCAGGTTGTCAGACTTGCACAGGGTACTGGTTAGTTTTTTTTTGTTTGTTTGTTTTTTGTTTTTTGTTACCTTGACACAGCTGTGGTCATCTGGGAAGGGGGAACTCAATTGAGAAAATGCCTCCATAAGATCAGCTTGCAGGGAAGCCTGTGGGGCATTTTCTTGATTGATGTGGAAGATGCTAGCCCACGGCGGGTGGTGCTACCCCTGGGCAGTTGGCATAAGGAAGCAAACTGAGCAAGCCATGGGGAGCATCCCCCCCCCCCCCAGGACCTTTGCATCAGCTGCTGCCTCCAGGTTCCTGCCCTGACTTTTCTTCGTGGTGAACCGTGGGCTGTCAGTTGAGATGAGCAACCTCCCTAAGTTGCTTCTGGCAATGGTGTTTACCACGCAACAGAAAGCAAACCAACATGCCTTCCAAGTGCTCTATCTGCTGGGCCATCTTACTGGCCACGATTCTTCTTTTGACGGTTGCTTATATTTTTTCCAGAAACTCTTGCTGAACTTTTTGTGTTTGCTTTCTCTCACTGGCCCAAAGGACCTTCCTGTATGTTTCTAGAGGTGGAATCGTGAAGTCTAAAGTGTGTCTGAAGCCTGTGTCCTTGGTGGCTTGACCGAGTCTGTTCACAACCCCCCTTCCAGTACCCACCAGCCTTTTTTTTTACCTCTTCCCTACTCACAACTCCTTGGAGGGAGGCCTGACCTGGATACAGACAATCATCAGTTTGACTCAGATCTTTGAAACAGTCCAGAGGTGTGAGCACTCAGTTTCATGCTCAGAGGAAGGCAAAAATCCCCATCTTCTCACAAAGTACTCAGAGGATCAAACAGGTCCCCAAAGCAGCCACCGGATTCCAGGCTGGTTGGCCATCTTCCCTGGGTGCCAAGCACAGCATGCCAGGTCCCTTCTTAGGACAGTCCCCTAAAGAGGACAGGAAGGCCTTGGATAAACCAGCAGGAGCCCCGGGACAACTCTGGAGAAAATCCCTCCAGTGAGTGACAGCTGCCTACAAAGGTGGTCCTTTAACTTGTGGGTAGATGGCAGGATGGTGGCCACCCAGGGAACAAGGTAGAAACAGGAGGGAATGGAAGCTCTTTTCTGCAGGGGACCAGTCTGGGTGGTTGGGTAATAGGCATTTGGCTAGTTTAACTGGGAATCAGTCCTCTCTCCAGCTGCAGGAGGAAGCTGGGTGGGTGTGCAGTGGACATTAGTCACCCACAAAGGACTTTTTGGACTCAGAGTTAGTGGAAAGTGATAGAGTCACATTCTGGAGGGTTTGAATAAGAATTAAAACAAAGCCCACAATGTGTTCGAGCTGGATGGAGCTTGTCACTTATACTCTGTCACTTCCTGGTTATTTACAGAACATAGAGTGTGGATTAGCTATGCACAGAGGAGGAGGGAACATGAAAAACAGTCTTTAGTAGATGCCAGGGTGTTTGAAAACCTGACCAATGCAAAAGCGAGTCTGATTTTGAGCAGCTTGCTTTAGATTCTGGGCCTTGCTTTCTGCAGCTGTACAGTGTAAGGCTACTACTAGCCTCCTTCAGGGCTCCCATTCAGGTTGACTGCTGGGGCCTATGAGCAATGAAACTGTGGATCAGTGCCAGGCAAGGAGCAGGGGACCGTGGTGCATCAGACCTCCTTCCGTTTGCCCTTCTTGTGGCAGAAGGACCAGCAAGGGTAATAGCCAGCAGAATTCCACAGATGTCACAGAAGAGGCTGGCATGGATTAGTTGTGAGGAAAGTTCAGGAAGAGGGGATTTGAGTTGCATCTTGCAGGCTGGTAGGATCTAGTTTGGCTGAGTCTGAGGACTCCTGCGTCTTTGGTGGTAGTAGCGCAGATGCTGGCACAGCCTGAGACTGTAGGGAATTCTGATGGGATAGCTTAAGCAAGGAGCAGACACGGCCTCCAAAGAGTGGCAGGCTGGGAATGGTTCATGGATCTGCAGGGCTTCAGCCCCATTGTCCAATACCGAGAGGAATATTTGGGAATCCACACACATTTCCTTTGTTCTTGGTGCGCTCTGTAAGGAGAACTCTGCTATAGTGTGTCTAGGGAACATTATGAGGATGAAGAGGACCACACAGACCCTGTCTCAGCTGGAGAGGGCCTCAGAGGGAGGTGTGAGTCAACCTAGATGGATTTGAGGACAGGCTTCAGATGGCTCACAGTGTATGCCAATAGTGGTCAGGCGAGATGTCCGCATGGAAAGGTGGGACTTCCTCCAGGTACCTGTGAGAATTAAGTGTCCTATGACCAGCCAGGGTGAGGCTGGGGATTGGACATGAGCAGGAAGAGTGGTGCAGGTCCTGGTGAATCTCCAGCAGCCATTCTAATCCAGAACGGCTTTTCTTTTGCCCTCAGCCTCCTGACAGTGGGCCTCCGCCCTTACCGACATCCTCTCTTCCGGAGGGTTACTATGAGGAAGCCGTGCCGCTGAGTCCTGGAAAAGCCCCAGAGTACATCACCTCAAGTGAGTGGCAGCCACCCATCAGGGTGGTTTCTTCATTCACAGGAGTGGGGCTGAGCCAGGGCACTGGGTGTGGAGGAGACAGGGCTGACCATCACCACAGAAATGCACGAGCTATGCATCTGGGACCTAAGGAAAGCAATGCATACAGGAGCGGCTTGAGGGAAGGGAGACCTAGGAGTCCTTTCTTCCAGCTTCTGGTGAGTCAAGTCAGAGGTGCCTTGTGCCACAGAGCCAGATGTGGGCAGATGAGGTGGTACCCTGAGGTCGGTCAAGACGTGGTCTGTGGCACATCTATATGCACCCCACCCTGTTCTCTCTTGGTCTTCGCAGAGCATAGCCCTGTAGGTCAAGGTTTCTGCCAGGCTTCCTGTGGGGTGTAGACTTTTCTTTCGTGGTGGGGAGGGAAGATTTTACTGGATAGTTTCTGCTGAAGTCATGGTCTTCTGACTCCTGATGCTGACCTCAGTAATCATCCTTTTAAGCTCGGGTTGTAGAAAGAGAGAATGAATTTTCCAAGTCATCCTCTGATCTCCATGCATGAACCATCGCTCACGTACCTCTGCAAAATAGTTGTTTACAACTTGTTAAGTGTCAGTGTTGTGCCAACGCTCTATCCTGGTGCAAGCTATCTTTGCAGCAGGCTCCTAGGGCAGGGTAGAGCACAGGCTAGCAGTGCTGTCTTCTGCCACCTGCCACGTGCTCCTCGCTGGCTTCCACACCATTTCCAACACAAAGTGGCCACATGCTCTGGAAAGTGTGTCATTTCCCAGGGTGCATTTGTTTCTACCACTCTTCTTAGACTTCTAGCTGGCTGCCAGCAGCTTCTCCAGGGGCTGGGTGACAATCTCCTTCTCCAGCATCTGGCACAACTGGCTTTTAGGTCCCCGTCTGTGACAGCGTGAGCCCCTCTAGATGGTGCACCTTCCTCCATCACGTTCGGGACAGAGGCCATGTGATGTCTTTGTCTTGCCCTATGATGTCCACACAGTCACTGGGCTTTGAGGCCCTTGAACTGTATGTGAAAATGGGTGAATTCAAGGCTTAATTCTTTAACTCTTATAAAAATGAAGATTGAAATGTTCCTTTTTGGCTGCCATGTAAAGTAGGAGTGTTGGGCAGATGCAGACATTGGGAGCAGTCATGTGCCAGTGTGTAGAAAGGGAAAGAGGAAAAAGAGAGAGGCTGCTGGTCTGAGGATGGCAGGAGGAGCCTGGCCTGTCAAGCATTCTCTCTCCGTGGTGTGTAACTTGAAACCCTCATTTCTGCACCCTCAGCACAGCATAGAGCAGTTCCTCTCACATCCTCAGGATAGTTTCAGGCCTGTTACCACTCCCTCGGGAGCTGTGTCCATCACCTCCACCCCCACCTGCCCCAGGCTGGAATGTGCCATTGTCCCTCTGAAGGCCCTGTCTTCACCTGCACGTGTGTGGTTGAACCCTTGTGACCACTCTTCTTTCTCTGACTGTCCACCCGCCAAGCCCCTGCCCCTTTGTTAGGTGCTGGGGTAGCTATCACATGCAACAAGATGCTCTCCCTTCCCGAGGCTCACGGCTCGCCGTGAAGTGCTGACCTGTGTGCACAGTGACGGGTCTGTTAGGCTGTATGTGACATCACAAGGGCCTTTGACCCAGTGTGTTGTGTTGTCCTGCTCAGGTTGCTGCCACAAATCATCCCCAGCCCCCGAGGCTAGAATGCTGAAATTCTTGGGAAATGCTGGAATTTTTCGGCCTATTTCACCAGTGTTTTGTCTCACAGTGGCCTAACTTAGAGGTGTTCCCTCTGGCCATGCCCTCAGCCCTGTCTTGACAAGGAGCTTTTTCTCTTTCTCCCTTCTTCTTCTGTCTTTTCCTTTTGCCCTTCTCTAACACCACTCCCCATTGGATTAGGACTCTATACTTAAGGTCATAGCCATATTGGTAACAGATTTCATCTGAATTGTAACCCCAAAGAGCCAACTCCAGAAGCCGTCATGTTAGCTTGAGGGCCTCAGCATGCGAGTACCTGGGAATCACTCTTGAGACTATGGCACCGGCCAGAGAAAGTTATAAAATGGCAAAAACATGAGCACACAGTATCTCAGCAGCTCGTAGTATGTGCAGAGAGCCTAAGGGAAGAGAGTTCGGGATATGTGTGGGAAAACTGTAACATGAGAGTTCATGTGTCCTCCAGTGAGCTTTGTTCTGTCGGAAAAATAGGACCTAACCCTCCACAGAACCAAGGTGACTCGTTGGGAAGAGGTAGGTGGCCTCTGGTGGAGGCCAAGTGTTCTGAAGGGTCTGTGGGTGGCAGTGTCAGCAGGAAGGCTTGGGAGGTATTTAATCAAGGCCAGATAAAGAGGAGCAGAGGACTCTACATGAACAGGGTTCCTGAGTGGCCACCCTAGGCAAGAGTGCAGCTAATGCTGCCACCGGGGTGACGTCATCCTGCCTATGTGGAAGAGTCTAGAGATTTGAAAAACAAGTCTCAGTGTTTCAGTTGTTGCATTTGAAGCCTTTTGTTGAGTTCTCATGCCCGAGTCTTGGAGAGTTTATTCTCAGGGCCAGAGAGGGAAGCCGTTTTTTACTGAAGCCCACTGTGGTTGGAAATGCAGCCAGGTGAGGTGACCTGGGAGGTTGGCTTCTCACTTCTGTTCTTTTCTCCTCCACAGATTATGACTCTGATGCCATGAGCAGTTCCTATGAGTCATATGATGAAGAGGAGGAGGATGGAAAAGGGAAGAAAACTCGGCACCAGTGGCCTTCAGAGGAGGCCTCGATGGACCTGGTGAAAGACGCCAAGATCTGCGCCTTCCTGCTGCGCAAGAAACGATTTGGCCAGTGGACCAAGCTGCTCTGCGTCATCAAGGACACCAAGTTGCTGGTGAGCCCAGCGGGGCTGCGCCATCATTGGCAGTCTGAAGTACAGGAAGGCAGCTGGTACATGCAGATGCTACCACAGGGGAGGCAAGCCCTGGGACCTTGCTGAGAGCCAGGGGCCCTGCCTCGCCCAGCCTGGCTGGCACCTCTTCAGGGAAGGCTCATGGTTCCCCCACACCCAAGTCCTTCCACCCTGCTGGGCCTGTGGCTTGTGTCAGTGGAAATGAGTAGTGTTGAGACTTGCCAGAAACTGCAAGATAGACTTTCTCATTTGTAGTGAGTCAGTAAATTCCTCCCAGCCAGGTCAGAGCAGAGGCCTGGAGCCTGTGGAGGCGCCAAGGGGAGGACAGAGGAAAAGGATGCTTTTTTGGAAAGCCAAAAGCTTTCCCCAAAAGAGTGGGTGTTTTCTTTTTCTTTTTCTTTTTCTTTTTCTTTCTTTTTTTTTTTTTTGAGGTAGAAAAGGAAGGTGGAGTCAGTCCAGAAGCAGGGTGGAGAAGATTCAGAGCTTTGGCCACACGTACTGTCTCCCATGGGGGCTCTGAGAAGGAGAAGCAGCCTTGGAGACTGCATTCCTACCCCACCCCCTTCCTTTAGAAACCAGGCTGGTCACTGGGTCAGGAGCTTCAGTCTATGTTTTCTGCCTTTTGTCTTTCAAATTAACCTCAGGAAACAATTACTCAAAAGTGAGTCATTAAAGCAGAAAATCTGAGTTTCTGTTTCCACACATTTAGTGGAGCAGATAACACTGTAAGAGAGATCATAGTCCCCAGTGAATTCTGGGAATCTTCCTTGCGTAGGCTCATAGGAGACTGTATGTGCTTCATTTTTTGCTCAGCCTTTTAAAACAGAGTCCATGTTTTTTCCACATGTGTGGCCTGAATTTTATGCCAAAAATGATGCCATCGGGGATTTTAAAGCATGAAAAATATTAACATAGCTCTTATTTATAATCTGATGCAATAGCTGAAGGATGGTGATATGCTATATAAAATGTTTTAAAATGCATTCAAGTCCTATGTGAAAGAGCAGCTTCATGCCCAATGCAGGCAGCCTCCGTGCTGGTGCAGAGTCAGCGGTTTGGAGCCCAGGTTCCAGGTTCCTTTCCCACACCCATTTGTCCTCTTCCTTCTCCCTTGCTTTCTTCTGCAATTGGACCTCCTCTGAGATCTCTCTCTCTGCCCTGTGATGGTAACAGCTTCCATAGAGACTAGCTCAATTGTTGAAGAAACAAATAGAAAACGAGGGAAAACACTATGCAAGACAAAATGCAAGACGAAACTTGGGTCTTCTATTTGATTTTGGCTTTGTTATGACAGCCTTGCTATATAGCTCAGCTTAGCCTCAAACTCTCTATGTAGCCCAGGCTAGTCTTGAGCTCTCAGTCCTCCCTCCTCCATCCTCCTGTATTCTGAATCCTCCCTAATTCTGAATGATGGGATTACAGGCAAGTGCTACCGTATTTGTCTTAAAGTAGCTGTTTTGTTGTTGCTGGTGCTAGTCTGGTAGTGGTGGTGGTGGTGTGTGTGTCACTTTCCTTCAGAGATAACTCATGATTCAACTATTCAAATGAGAGAAAGCATGCTTTTTCTTTGAGCATCCTGCCTGGCCTCCCAGGTGTGTCACTGCTACTTTCTTTGTTGATCCTATGTCTAGGCCTTTATTTCCATGCCCAGACAATTCTGCACCCACCCAGGTGCTCCCTCCCTCCATACTGAAGCACTCATTCTCTAGCTGATGGGTAGCTAGAATTTCCTCCATTGAAGGGACCCTGAGGCCAAGTCACCTTTCTTACCCAGGACCACCTGTATCTAGTGCTCAGAGAGTCAAGGTCAGCCTCATGGGGGCAGGTTCAGTGGGGCCTTCCAGCTCCAGAGCCTGTGGGCTCCCGATGCTTGTCACTTGAACTGAGTCCTGTCTGCTCTCCCTTCTTCAGGCTCTTAGTGGCAGCCTTGGAAGAGTCCCTGTTTGGTGGCAGCTTGGGCTTGCCTCTTCCCGGATCTCCAGACAGTACTGCAGTTACAGGTGCTTGTGAGACAACTGATGTGGGTGCTGGGAACCAAGCTTAGGTTCTCTACAAGAGCCATGTGTGTTCTTAAGTACTGAGCCATCTCTTCAGCTCCAAGCGTCTTCACTGTTACACTGTCTGCCCACAAGTCTGTGCAGTTGCAACAGACTTAATAGTCCTTTCATATGTCTCATGTTTACATAAAGATGAGTTCAATTTCATGAAGATGCTCCAATAGAGCACAGGATAAATCAGTGTCTTCTCAGTCATGTCCTGGACACTCTATAGCTGCACACCTGTGTCCACCAGATGTAGGAGAGTGAGGAGGCAGCAGACTCTTGATGAATCACACCTGTTAGCTGGCTGCTGAGCCATCATCTCTGTCCCAGTACCTCCTGAAGCCTGGCGAACACATGAGGCTTGGTTGCGCTGGGTTTCTGCATTGTTTCTGGTCACATGTCCTCAAGGCATTAATTGGGCTGTTGTGTTCTGTGCAGTGCTATAAAAGTTCCAAGGACCAGCAGCCTCAGATGGAGCTGCCGCTGCAAGGGTGCAGCATCACGTACACCCCGAGGGACAGCAAGAAGAAGAAACACGAGCTGAAGATCACCCAGCAAGGCACAGACCCTCTGGTTCTCGCCGTCCAGAGCAAAGAGCAGGCTGAGCAATGGCTGAAGGTAGGCCATCTGCCCTGGCTCTGAGCCACCTTCACTTCCAGACCTCTTCCTAGGCCCTTGTTCATTTGTCAAAACCCCGGACGGATAGGTTAAGCTAGGAGTTTTGTCTTTTTTTTTTTTTTAACAAGTTAAGTTACATTTTAATTTTGATCCCCCCTGCCATACACATGCATGGGCATACACACACATGCTTACACATGAGCATGGCAGGCACGTGGAGATCAGAGGACAGCTTGTGAAAACTGATTCTCTATCCCACACCCACTCTGTGGGTCTCCAGGACCAAACCTAAATCAGGCTTGATAGTGCATGCCTTTCCCCACTGAGCCATCCTTCTGTTTTTTGTTATTTGTTCTCAGGTTTTGGTTGTATGTCTTAGCCTTGAACAGCAGAGGTGTCACTCCAGCCCCTGTTTTGCTTTTGATAGTGAACACTCAATGGTTGAATCTCCACTTACCTGACACCCTGCTGCAGAGGGCTGTCTGTCACAGGAGGCTGTCCGTCTGTCCTGTTGGTTTTTTTAGTATTGCTTTGATCCACCCTATATTCCCAGAAACGATACTTAAATGTGAGAACTTCTCACTTTGTACTCTCTGACCCTTACTCCCCTTTGGTCTGGCTTCTCTCTGTCTCTTATTCTCTTTTGATCTGGCTTATTTCTTTCTTTCTTGGTCTCCTCCAATTCGCCATGTCTTCCTTGTTTCTGATCTGTTTGGTCCCTCTGCTGCTGTGTTGTAATTTTGATTTCAGGATCCATTCTATTCCACTCGGGCTGCTCGGCTGAGATGCCCTAGCTGGAGTGGCCTTAAACAGCAGCAATTTACTTCTGAGCTCTGGAGGTTGGAAAGTGTAGTCAAGGTGTCTGCAGATTTGGTCTCACTGCAGAGACGTTCTCACTGTCCTATGTGGTAAAGAGCGAGAAGGCCACCTGCAGCCTCTGCTATGCACTAATCCATGAGGGCTCCATCCTGTGACCTCATCACAGCTCCGATACTGCACTTCCTAGTGTTGCTGTATTGGAGATGAGGGGTCCCTAGTTTTAAGCCCTAGAATTTCTACTGTTTCTTTTTTCAGTCTGGAAATGTCTCTTTTGCAGTTTTAAATTTTTCTTAAAATGCTGGTCCAGCTTTTACCTCTGAACAGGATGGGCATGGTGGCTCTGACCCTGGCTTTTACCTGAACAGGATGAGCATGCTGCCTATGCCTCTGGGCTTTGCTGGAGCTTGGAACTCACTGTCACTCAGCATGCATGCTAGTCATGGTATCTGGAAGGAAAAGTACACTGAAATAATTCTCACAGCAACAATATCTGGTATAGGTCATAAAACCATAAACCACTCCTTTAAAGCAAATACAATCTCAGGGTTCCTTTGGGTTTGCATGCTGCATGGCCCTTGAAAGTGATTCTATAACCACAGCTGCTCCTCCTGCCGCTAGGAAGGAGCTGTGCGTGTGTAATTATCTTCCCCAGGTTTTGGTTCATCACAGCCCGTGGTGAGGACAGGGCTGGAAGGTGGTGCCATCCATTTGAACATCTATGATCATGGTGCCTATAGGCCACTTTCCTCACTGCTGTAACAGAATAACCTGACAAAATGGACTTAAAGAAGGGAGTGCTTATCTCAGCTCACAGTTTGAAGTTATTGTCCATCGTGGTGTTGAGGGCATGGTGACAGGTGTGAGGTGCGTGGAAGCCAGGAAGCAGTGCTTGGTGCTCAGTTCAGCTAGGCCTTCAGCCCCCTTTCCTCTTCAGTTAATCCTCCCTAGAGACATCCCCAAACACATGCCCAGAGTCGTGTCTCAGGCGATTCTAAAACCTGGCAAGGTAACAGTGAAGATGAACTATCAAACACCATATCCAGGGAACCATTAGCCTTGATTCCCCATGGCTCCCAGGAACACACAGTCAGACTCCAGGCCCATGATGATGCTTTCTTGGCTGCCCAGAGAATCACACAGAGGTGGCCTGTTTCACTCTGTCAGCAGTAGCTGTGGCTTGCCTGAAATCTGTGACACTGAGGTTGAGGAGAGTGTTTTTTTGGGGGAGGGGGATGGGTGGGCTGGTGGTTCTTCTTCTGCAAGCCTCAGACATAGGAATCTCTCCAGAGAGTTGTGTAGCCTTCCAGACTGAGAGCTTGATTATGCTGCAGGCCAACCCGGATCGCTGCAGGAGCTCCAGAGCCTTCAAGGTTTATAGAAGCTTCTCCATCTCGTTGACTTATGCTGCAGGTGTGTGCGTGTGTGTGTGTGTGGGGGGGGGGGATTGGTCGGAGAGAGATGCTTGCAACATGTGATTGTGGAAGCAGCAGAGGACAACCTCAGCTGCCATTCCTCAGGCACCATCCACCTCGCTGTTCTGAGACAGGGCCTCCCTCTTGTGAGTGGCTTAGAACTCACAGAGACAGTTAGATTGCCTGGCAGTGAGCCTCAGGGATCCACCTCACTGCCTCCCCAGCGCTGGGGTCACAGACACACAGTGCTGCACCCAGCTTTTTTATGTGGGTCCTCACACTAGTCACCCCAGATGCTCACGGCCTCCTCATCTCCTGCCATTCTTAGTGGTTTCATCTGAATACTGAGAGGTTGAGTATCAGGGTGCATGCTGCAATCTGCATGATGGATCTGCAGCAATCCATCAGGGTCGGTTTTCTGATTTGGCTGAAGCTTTGCTCTTGTTTGAATAAATGATAGACAGCTGTCCCCCCCCCCTTTTTTTTTTTTTTTACTTTTTTGAGACAGGGTTTCTCTGAGTAACAGAGCCCTGGATTTTCACTTTGTAGAGCTGGTCGGCCTCAAACTCACAGAGATTCCCTCTGTCTCTGCCTTCCTAGTGCTGGGATTAAAGGCATGAACCACCATGCCGGGCAACTAAAATTTTTTTATTCTTAATTTTTTTTTAATTTTTATTGCTTCTGTGTGAATTTCACATCATGCACCCTAATCCTACTCCTCTCCCTCTACCTTCTCCTCCTGTGATCTTAGCCTGTCTGTTCACTAAAACAGAAAGGGCAGTTGTGGAGTGAGCAGCTTTTCTGGTGACTGTTTCATTCTCTGGGTTTCTCTCTTGGCTGTCTGGACTCTCCTTTCCAGGCTTAGTGCCCTTTGTTCTGTAAGGAAAGCTGGGTAGGGCTGCCCTGAGCCTGGGGAGGGTCCTGCCCACCCTCTGTTCTACAGCATTAGATACTCAGCAAGCTTAGCTCCCTTCTAATCGCTGTACATCTGACATGATGTCACCCTGAGTCCTTGAGCATCTGGTGAACAGAACAGTGAAGCAACGTGCTTCCAAGATGCTGACGGAGTGAAATAACCTCATATCCGACTTCCCCACGTGTGAGCTTCTCACAAACTGAGGCGCTTAGCTAATTATAGCATGATGACTCCACTCATGAATGGTAGTTAATTGCAAGAATTTTAATTTTAGTGCATTTCTTACAAGGGAAGTAAATAATACAAGGCAGAAAATCTCTTTTCTGAAGAGTTTGAATTGATTACTCTATTTAATGTTTGTGCTGTTATTTCTGCAGAACCAGAGCACGAGAAGCCCTGGCAGTGAGAGTCAAAATGACTGTGTAGCCCTCAGCCCTAATGGGGTGTTTTTATCATCCCCTCAAATTCAGGGAACATTGTGGAAGAGGGATTGGGAAGACTGGAAGATCCAGAAGGAGGGGGGAGGGACTCACAGAGCCCCGCTTCTCCTTGAGGATTTATAGTTAAGGTCTACCAGTGGGGAGGATGTGATGACCCCCTCTTCTTCTGAGGATCTGCAAGCAGTTAATGGCTGCCTGGGGAGGAAGTGGCATTTTCTTCTGTTGTGTACCACTGATAACATGCCTGTGCTCCTGTGAGTTTCTGCTCATGTTTCTGTAGCTAACCCTGATAAAATTTATTAGGTCCCAAGAAGAGAAGATAGGAAAGTAGAAGTTAGGAAGGGAGGGAGCAGAAGGAGAGGGGAAGAGAGGGCAACAACAGGGTGAGTATGGTAAAAATTATATGCATGTGTGACAAGCTCATTAAGAAATCTATTATGTATAATTAACATTAATATATGCTAATAAAACAATGAAAGTCAAGTGACAAAAGGGTTTCAGCCATAGAATCTTAACTCTGTCAGCCTAGCAGAGCCTAAGACAGACTAGTTTATTCCAGATCCATCATTGGATGAATTACCTTAGCAGAACCATGATTTTAACGTCTTCTGAAGGCTGGAGGACAACAGTCATTTTTCTTCTACTGTGGGATTCTGGGACTGAACCCAGCTTCTTGGGTCTGAGCAGTATAGGTGCCTTTACCTGCTGAGCCAGGGAGGTGGTGGAGGTTTTAAAAACAAGATTCAGAATAATTCAGAATTGTTGTGAGCCTAAAGGTCTTTATGGGTTTTTTTTTTTTGCTTTGTATTTTTCTAAGACCCCAAATGCTGCTCTATGCTGATAGGACTGAGATATGCCTCACCGCCTAGCTCTTTTTTTTTTTTTTTTTCTCAGAGAACTTCTGTTTTGGGGTCTAGAACCAGGAACTTCTGGTTCTCCTGCCAAGAAGGGGATGAAAGGCAGAGTGGGTATATGCTGGGTCTCTTCACTCAGATGTGAGCCTCTGTCCTGCGCCATTTCCTTTTACATCAAAGAAGTTGGTGTTTTGTTTTGTTTTAATGTGGGAGGGGCTGGAAAGATGGCTCAGTGGTTAAGCACACACACTACTCTTGCAGAGGACCCAAGTTCAGTTTGAAGCACCTATATAAGGTAGCTCACAGCTGCCTGTAACTGCAGCTCCAGGGCCTAGGTCACCCGTGGCCTCCATGGACGTCTGCTCTCATGTGCAAATACACAGACACAGGCACATGCAATGCACACAATTAAACATAAAGTAAGTCTTCTATTTTCATTAAGTAGAAAAATTGGAAAGCCCATTTCCTACAGTGCAGGCCTTCTGAAAATGGACTTCCAGGTGGTATGTAAGCCACCATCTTGCTCTGCTCCCTTAGAAGCCATTGTTCCCAGGTTTGG